ACCAATGGAATAGAATTGAGAACCCAGAAATAGATCCATCAACCTGTAGTCAGCTGATCTTTGACAAAGGCCCCAAATCCATTAAATGGGGAAGAGAATATTTGTTTAATAAATAGTTCTGACAAAACTGGAGATCCATTTGCAGAAAAATGAAACAAAATCTGTAAATCACACCATACACAAAAATGAACTCCGGATTGGATCAAAGACTTAAATGTGAAACCTAAAACTACAGAGTTGCTCAAGGAAAATCTAGGGGCAAATTGGAGGGCCCTAATATATGGCATAAATAGACTATCAAGCATAACTCAAAATTATTTATTATTGTAAGTGTCATTAAATGACCTTCATATTAAGTCCAATAGTGCAGTGCAGTGAATTACTTGGTATGGCTTTTCTATCCATAGTCTTTGTAACTTCCACCAGAATATTGGGTGGGATAATGCAAATAAGGTGTGTGGAACTCTGATGTTGGGATTGGTTAGTTTTGTGATTCTGCCAGGCTTAAAATGAACCATCCTAGAGGTAGAGATGGAGTCTTACTGTCATCAAGAGAGAAGAGTTGGAGGTGAAGTACAGTGCATCCTTGGACCCAAGATCCCTGCACTGGACCTCCTTGGTAGAGACACTCTGGCAGGGAGAGATGCCCTGGCCGAGAGGTGCCCCGGCAGAGAGATGGTCGCAGTGGAACCAAGAGGCACAAGACAGAGTCGTGGGCTTACCTGGCCCACAGAGTGAGAAAGCTGAGTGCCTTCGAACAGACTTGCTGATGGACTGGGGAGCATGTAGGTGTCCCTTTTGGCAGAATTAAAAGAACTTTGTAACATTTGCCTGAGAAGGGCAGAGGCCGGGCAGAGAGGCCAAGGTCCAGAGAGGCATATCTGAGGGTACAGCAGAGTGGAGATTGTCCTGATGGAAGATTTGTATCCTGAGTGTGTTCCCGAACCTGAATTATAATTATAGCCTGCTACTTCCCTAATAAATAATTCTGAGTATTGTCTGTGAACCAAAAAAAAAAGAAAGAAAGAAAAGAAAGAAATGACAAAAAAAAAAAAAAAAGTCTCAATGGAATAATGTCTCCATCTTGTGGAATTTTGGAACGTTGTCATTTAAATTATGTTTTTGTTAAAATCAGTTGCCTTCAAGTGGATTCAGACTCAGATACCTCATGTGTGTCCAACAACACTCTATAGGATTTTCAATAGCTGGTTTTTTGGAAATAGATCAATAGACCTTTCTTCTGAGGTGCCTATGGGATGGACTCAAATTTCCAACCTTCCAGTTAGTAGCCAAGAGTGTTAACTGCACCATTTGTTGGAAAACACTTGTTGCTGTTGAGTCAATTTGGACTCCAGATGACCACATTATATGTCAGAATAGAACTGTGTTCAATAGGGTTTTCAATGGCTGGACTCTTATGGAAAGGAGCTCTGATGGTGCAGTGGCTAAGAACTTGGCTGCTAACCAAAAATGGTCAGTGGAGAAACATTTGGCAGTTGACTTCTGTAAAGGCTGTAGCTTAGAAACCCCATGGGGAAGTTCTACTTTGTCTTATAGGGTCACTATGAGTTGGAATTGATGCAATGGGTTTGTTTTTGGTTTAATCTTATGGAAGTGGACCACCAGTCCTTTTTTCTCTGCCAGGCCTTTCTTCCACTAGGCATTTTTTCCAATGAGGCCATTGGGTGGATTCAAACCACGAACTTTTTGGTTAGTCGTCAATCAGAAATCATTTGTGTCACTCAGGACCTTTGTTACCACCCAGGAACACCATTTTCTTTATAAGACAGGTTATTTTTCAGAGTTTCATGAGTCTTTTTTTATTGGATTGACTGAAATTTTGAAAATTTTATTGCTGTAGAATAGCAGTCTCTTCAAGGTAGGCCTCTCTCACCTATTAGGTTTGCTTGATGGAATGAATTGTGCAACTAAGTAACTAATAGGGATCATTTTATGTCCAGAACTCATTTGAATCTACCTTGTCAAAAGGTAGAGCACAGATCCATTAACAAACACCTGGTTCAGAGTGATCATTCAGGGCATTGAGAGGCACATCCAGAGACCCTTCCTTGAAGTGTTCGTATGGCTATCTAATCTAATCTATTTATCTCTGTATGCCAGCAACCCTCAGCTCCCCATCACATATTCCTCACAGTGCGTAATGGCTAAAATGGAAACTGTGCCTGGAAATTGACCTTGCCCTATCTCCATACACTGATAGGGTGAGCTATGCTGCATTAATAATTCTGGGTTTTATTTGTATAATGTTGTTGTGGATTGAATTGTGTGCCTCCAAATATGTATCATAATTCTTAACCTCAATGTCTGTGGTTTTAATCCCATTTGGGAATGGGTTGTATTTATTATGTGAATGAGGCAGGATTATTGTATCTTGAGTCAATTTCTTTTGAGATATAAAAGAGATTAAACAAGCAAGCCAGGAAGCTGAGAAGAGGGAAGAGAGATGCTGCTATGCCATGTGAAGATCACCGACCAGCCAAGGATTAGAAACTGAAGGGACAAGGACATTCCCCCAGAGTCAATAGAGAGAAAGAGAAAGACTTCTAGAGTTGGCACCCTGAATTCGGACTTCTAGCTTCCTAAATTGTGAGAAAATAAATTTGTCAAAGCCACTCACTTGTGGTATTTCTGTTACAGCAACACTACATAACTAAGATAAATGGTTTACATACACAATTTGGGGGCAACTCTCCCCAAAATACCAGTCAGTTAAGAAGAGCTACTTCTCTGATCTACCTATTATGGGATCACATTTTCATTGAAATAGATACAGGCTCTTTCAGGTGTTGATTTCAACTATAGTAATATTGGGAAGAAATACCTATCATCCTCTAATAAGTTTAATTATATAAAACCACAATGAACAGTACACAGTGGGGTGATATATTCATAGCTAATCACTGTTCATGAAGAATTTCATGAAAACCCTTGTTGTGTGCTATGGAGTCAATTCTCACTCTGATCATCCCTATAGGACAGAGTAGAACTGCCCCACAGGATTCCCTAGGCTGAAATCTTTACAGAACCAAGTCTTTCCTTCAGTGGAGTGGAGTGGTTGGTGAAGTCAAACTGCTGACCTTTAAGTTGCGACTGAGGGTTTAACCATTGGGTCACCAGGCTCCATATGAAAACCTTTAAAAAACCAAACTCACTGCCATGGAGTTGGATCTGACTCATGGCAATCCCTCCTTTGTTTTCCAAGGTGGTATCACTACGGTAGATTGCCCAACCTTCCTTCCGAGTAGTGGCTGGTAGGTTTGAATCGCCAGTCTTCTGGTTAGCAGTCAAGTGCCTTAGGCACTATGCCACCAATGCTCCTATAAAAACCCTTAGGCCAATTTAAAAAGGGAATTGCTTCTATTCTAGTCCAGCCCAGATATTTCCACTTCTGTGTCCAACTCCACATTTCTGCATCCCACCACCTCTTTTTTTTTTTTTTTTTAGTGTCTGATGTACTTGAGTGCTAGAATATCAGGAAGAAATGGACAAATCCATAGGCACTATGAAATACTATAACATACTTCTCTGAAAGGAACCCTGGTAGTGCAGTAGTTAGAGCACTCAGCTGCTAACTGAAAGGTTGACAGTTCAAACCCATGCCCTGAGGGGAAAAGATGTGGCAGTCCGCTTCTGTAAAGATTTACAGCCTTGGGAACACTATGTGGCAGATCAACTCTTTTCTATAGGATTGTTATGAGTCAGAATCACCTTCACTAGTGGATTTGGTCTGGAAGTGTTCAACTTAATAAGTTAGAAAAATATCAGGCAACTCAAACCAAAAAAACCAAACTCACCGCGGTAGAGTGGGATCTGACTCATAGTGACGCCTCCTTGGGTTTCTGAGGCGGTATCACTATGGAAGTAGATTGCCCAACCTTCCTTCCAAGTAGTGGCTGGTGGGTTTGAACCGCCGGGCTTCTGGTGAGCAGTCAAATAAATGCCCTAGGGAGTACGCCACCAGAGCTCCCAACAGGCAACTATTCCTCCAACCCCTGCCCAAAAATGGGAACTTAAAAAAAGAAATGAGCAGAAATTAATGAAATAGAAACAATAGAGAGGATCAACGAAAATAAATGCTAGTTCTTTGAAAAGATCAATAGGCAAGGCTAATTAAAAACAGGAGCGACAGCAAGCTCAAAAAGTTAAATGAATGAATAGGGTGACATTTATGGAAAAAAAAAGCTGTTGAAAAACATTGTAAGAAAATATAATAATGAGCCATATACAGAAAACAAAGAAAGGAAGGCACAAAGAAAGAAAATGAGAAAATCCACAATTCCTGGGTTATATAAATTACACAACTGACTCAAGGATAAATAGAAAACCTGACTGGGCCTATAACCACTACAGAAATGAAATCGATAGTTAAAATTTATTTAAGAAGAAGACGAATAAGAAACCAATATCACAGGATTTTGCCCAGAGAGTTCTAGCCAAATCTTCAAATTTAAGACACAGTTCCAGAGAGCAGGCAAAGAGAGAAAAGCACTCCCCGCCCCACGTCTCTATAGTTCCCAGGTTGCTCTGCTCTCTCCACTGAGCACTCTATGGTTCCGGGGCGGGCTGGGCGTCCTGAGTTTGAAAACCGTGGCGGGAAGATGGCCGCCACAGCTGTCATCAGACCGGGTTTCTCCCGAGCGGGAAGGCGGTGGGACTATGGTTTGCCCTAAACTGCCGAGAAGGATTCGCGATGAACCTTCTTCGCCGAAGTGGGAAACGGCGGCGTTCAACTTCAGGCTCAGACTCCGGCTCTGGAAGCGGCGGTGACGGCAGTGACAGCCCTCAACTCCCCTTGGGTTCCGTGCTGAGCCCGCCCCCGGGCCTGGGTCGCAATTTGAAGGGTCACGGCCGCCGGGCGGTCGCTGCTGCAGGTACTCCCAGGGTCCCTGGTGACAGCGGGGTGACGTGGCCACTTGACAGGAGGTGCGGCTGGGGGTGCTCTTCATCGCACGGAGTTTCTTTGCACTGTCAATCGGGGCTTCTATTTCCCTTCTCTGTGACTCGTGTCTGGTGTGGCAGCTCACTTTCTGTTCAAACATGGACGTGCTTTCCACCCATGTTCAGTGACCGCTGGTAAACCAAACGAAACTCACTGCCTTGGAGTCAGTTCCGACTGACAGAGATCCTATAAGGCAGAGTAGAACTGCCCCATAGGGTTTCCAAGGCTGCCGATCTTTACGGAAGCCGACTGCCTCATCTTTCACCTGCGAAGTGGCTGGTGGGTTCAAACCATGGCCCTTTTGGTTAGCAGACTGAAGCACTGCACCACCAGAGCGGTTAAAACTTTTTCTTTACGGAAACAACTACCTACTTAAACGCAGATCCCAGAGGTTCACTCTTAATAGTACACAATACTGTTTGGAATCCAGGGGAAGGTGGAAGGGATTTGTAGTTTTCTTAGATTGGCTGGGTGTCAGATGAATGTTGACTTAGTTCTTTACCATCAGGTTGTGTATTAGCACAGTATTCAAACTTCAATAGAACCTTCCCTAACTTAATTCTGCAATGTTTGCAATTTATTCCTTTCACCCCTTATTATTCCACCACTCCTTCAATTTTGTTGTTTGTTTGCCGTTTCTAAGGAACTGTTTTGATTATATCAAATTTTAAAATTATTTAGAATATTGTCTGATACAGTGCTGGAAATTGAGCCCCCTAGGTTGGAAGGTACTCAAATACACATTTTCTTCAACAATGGTGGAGAATCCACCAGTGCTATGTTCTGTTGTACATGGTATTGCCATAAATTGGAGCCAACTTGAGGGCATCTAACAACAACAATAACAAACAACTATTTACTATGATTTTTACATGGTCAATTTCTCATAATCTCCTCAAATTCAGGATGTGTTTTAAATAGTCTCATTCCAATGTATAGAAATCCCAACACAGTGGAGGGCTAACTACAGAAGTCATATGTTAGAACTATATTCAACTATTTAATCATTTTTTGTTTTCTTTTGTTCTTGAAAGGGTCACGCAAGCAGGCACTTCCTGAGGATCAAGTAGACAAGCTGCTATTGGCAAATTGGGGAATTCCTGAAGTGGTGCTAGAGAAATACCACAGTTTTGGTGTAAAAAAGATGTTTGAATGGCAGGCAGAGTGCCTTTTGCTTGGACATGTCCTAGAAGGAAAGAATTTAGTCTATTCAGGTATTCTAATTTGTGCAATCTAATTTCACTACTATTTTAAGACATTATGAATGTAAAAGATACTCTATTGAGTGAGTTATGAATTTTTAAGGCTCCTGAATCAGTGCTTTACAAGTTTTAAAATAGTATATAAAAAGTAGAGTCTCATTCATATTTAACTTATGCAAATTTCATTATATGACTGAGAGGAAAAAGCAAGAAAAGTTAAAATTAAAGAGTAGGCAATTCTGCCTGCCATTCCTCTCAGGAAACCTATGTCTCAGAGTGTCTTAATTATCTAGTGCTGCTAT